AACACATATTGTGATGAGAAATGTTTTCAACTCATCTACAACTTGAATTTATCAAATTCAGCTCCCTGTTATACATGGTTGCCACGTACGACCCCCTGAAATTTTCTGGCTTGAGTTTGGGTAACTCGGGAATTGAGGAGGCTGAGAACCTGGGACTTCAAGGGAATGTTTCCTGTCCAAGTATAGCGTGGATAATTAACTTCCCGAAATTCGAGGACCAGTATGTACAAGAAGTTTCTAGCTAGCGGAATTTCGAGTGGTCTTATTACAGCACGAAACACTGAAAAAACGTATGATCGCACGGGCCCGCCCAGTGCGTTTCGCCAATGATTTTCTACATTTTTAGTACGGAGGTAGTTTTGACTTTTGAAAAATTTTGATTTCCAGGATATTAGTGGTGAACGAATTTGGAGTGAACTGAAGAAAATATGTGTGGGACGGCTGGGCGGCGAAGTAATAACAACCATGCTAAAGCAATGTGGCCTGGCTTTATTGCTGGGACTTCCAGAAAATGCAGATACTGCACATTTCTGCCAAATGCACAGGCGATTTCATCCAAATATTGAAGCAATGACATTACTAACATCGTTATTCACTGAACTGAAACATATTGAAATATTTCATGAAAGGCAAACTCCCTTTTTTAAGAAAATTTAAGAAAATTTTTAAGAAATTTTGGGCAAAAGCCAAAAAATGTAACTTTATTGTGAATAATATTTTTGAACAGATATTGGCTGCTGATTGAATACTGCACTGAATAGGCAAAGAATTTGTCCATGTTTCTTGTTTTTTTATGTTTTTTTATCGTTAGAAATTGGCAAAAATTGTTTACATAAGACAAAAATTTCAAAAAATCGAGAAAAAGCTCAAGTATTAGGATGGCGATACTAATTGAGAACTGATAAAATTCAGCCAAAAATCATGCAGTGCATCCAGGGAAGTGCCAAATTGTTCTCCTAAAAAGCGGAAATTTTACTGCCAAAGTACCATATTTAAGCAAATTGGAACAGAAATAGTTGGGCCTGCCAGCGTATGACTGGAGCACGCAACTGTTGTCTAGGGGCGCCTAACCCGGGACATGTTTTTTGTTTGCTCGTAGCAATTTTGAGCTTGGAAATGCTGGCATTTTCAGGCGCTGGTTTTCCAGTTGTAGCTTAGGAAAAGGGAAGGAAAAGAGAAAAGCGGTGTTATGTATCGTTGCCCAGGTACAGTTCAGAGGGCACGATTGAGGCCAGGATAGTGGGGAGGAACGAAGTTGCTGATTAGGAGTTCAAGACGATAAATGGTGACAGTGTTTGGAGTGGTGGGTGCCCCAATGTGGCTCTGAAAGCAGGAATCCTTCTTTAGCCCACGCTCATCCCCTAATCCCACAGTCATAGTCATTCCCTTTCTTTCCTTGCGTTTTTCTCTGTCCCATTCTCCTTCCTCTTCTTTTTCGATTAATCCAACTGTCATACTGACGAGGTCCTGTCGCAGCGTTGAGTTAAGACGTATATGACTTAATGGACCAAAACGCCTTATCTCATTCTTGCCTCTTTTCCTCATTCTTTCCTGCTTTGTATATTCAATACGCCTTCGACGCTTTGGCATCTAAGGTCAACTTGATGCTACAATCGGTTTACCAGGCTACTTTAGTTTAATCAGATTAACGGTCCCTTTTTATAGTTTCTTTTTTCAGTTTTTCCCCTCAGGAAAGCTTATAGCATAGCATCCGCATATGTCGTTTTAAGAATTTTTTTTGTGTTTGAATAACTGGAGGCAGAAGGGAAATTTATATGAACACAACAGCAGCCATTTTAGGACAATCTGAATTTCAGATGCAAACTATCACATGCGGAAAAATCGTTAGCCGAATTTATCATGCAACATCGCGATGCAGCAGAAAAGGATGCTGCAAATGATGTGTTTTTCAAAAATGTGCTGTTACACGAAGAACGGTTACATAAATTCACAAGTAACAGTTTTATTGTTTTTTGATATTTTGTTCTGCTTGTTCAGGTTCTGTTATTTTTTCTTATTTTTACTGATATGGGCTGAAACAGTAGAGGGGGCACATCGGACAAAAAAGGGTAGAAGCAACTGTTATAAATTTTCTTTTTTTTTTCAAATCTGATAACACTTTTTTTATAGTCGTGACATAATTAGTGAGGGCCAGGTGGTTACTTTGTGAATTGGCTCGGAAGATTTTTGCCTCTGAGACGTTCATGCAGCTAATTCCTTGCACTGGTAATGATCAATTGCCAGATGGTGGTGAGAAGGGTCGCAGGTAGATGAGCCACAAGATCAAGTAAGTAGAGAAGGGAATATGAGACGTGCAGCGTTGTGTCAGGAAAGACGAAGGAAAAAAGATTCACTAGAAGTTTAAGTATTTTATGGTTATGTAAAAGGTTGTAAATAAAAAGTAAAAAATAAAAGTAAAAATAAGTAAAAAAAATAAGAAATAAAAAAGTAAAAATAAGTAAAAAAAAATAAGAAATAAAGTAAAAATAAAAAGTAAAAACTGAACTGGAATGTTTCGATCCATTAATTGGCATACATTCCCATTCATTGCTGCAACTGGACCTCGTCAGTTTTTACGATTGGCATACGATTTCTTAAATATGGACTGGTGTTTGCGTTTTACGTATGTTAAACATCGGGCTCGCAGCATGCAACTAGTAGGTTTAGATTAGCAGCAACTCAGGAATTAAAAATGTCATTTTTAGGAAAGAAAGTGCAAACGAGTCGAGAGAAGGTCATCGAATTAGCGAAATACGCTATGTCCGATGACCGGATTATCAATGAAATAAGAGCGTGGGAAACCCCGGTTTTTCCGGTCAGCGGTCTTGACCTAATGCACAGCAATGTTCCAAGTGGTCAACACGTCAAAAAGATCTTGGATCATCTTTTCAAATTATGGATTGAGGTATATTTGTCTGAATACTAACATTTTGCATCAAATAACGGAATATTTTTTGAACAGGCCGATTGTAACATCCAGGTTGACCTCAGGTGCCAAAGTGCCGAAGGCGTACTGAATGCAGAAAGCAAGAAAGAATGAGGAAAGGAGGCAAGAATGAGAAATTTATTAATTTTACTGGTATCTTCTGTATCTTTCGTGCATAAAGCAGCGAAATCAAGTTTGCTGTATAACTTCCCGTTATTTTTTATTAAAGGCAATTGTTTTTATTGCCAGGTATACCAGACTACTTGGACATCTGATAGGGAAAATCCTATCTTAGCGCTGTTGCAAGAGTGCCTTCATACGCCATGCGCAGCTAAGCCAGACCCACATATCGTCATCGATTAGTGTCCACTGTTCGTTCGATATATGTGGGGCGAGCTATTCAGAAATTGGCCGATTGGTCATTTTCTTTCCACTGTTACCTCGTACCAGTAAGTAACGTCCACTAGTTGTCATAAAACTTAAAATTGAGCAGCATTTCCTTTTAAAAAA